CCCTACGGGCTCGGAAAGAGCAACGAAACCATCAAATTTTAGCTAGAAACTGTATTTTTTTCGATTTTTATTGAATTTGAACTATATTTCAACATTTTTTGATGGTTCTGAGCCACGAAACACACTTAAAACATGCAGAATCGTCTCAGATTAGTAAAAGGAGACGTTTAAGTCAATTTATGCATTCTGGCGTTCGTTATTACAAGAAAAGTGTTAAAGTTCTTCTGAAACGTCACTTTTGAAGTTGTGGGAAAGCAGAGAAAAATGTTGTGCCTCGGTGGGATTCGAACCCACGTCTCCAAGCATTCCGGGCTGGTATGCTAACCGCTACACCACAAGACAACTTATCTTTACTCTGCTTTACCCGCGTGTTATTGTGCCGCCACAGGACTCCCCCCCAGCGACACAGCGCGCAGTCGTGCTGGGGTGCGAAGGGGATGGTTGCTGGCGTCGCTCCTGCCACTCTTACGTTCGTCGTTCGAACCCTGGCGGTGCTGCGGACCCCGAACACAGCGGGCACAGGGCGGTGGCAGAAGGATGTTGCGTGCGCGTTGCCTGTCGGTGGTCACCAATGTGGGAAAGCAGAGAAAAATGTTGTGCCTCGGTGGGATTCGAAACCCACGTCTCCAAGCATTCCGGGCTGGTATGCTAACCGCTACACCACAAGACAACTTATCTTTACTCTGCTTTACCCGCGTGTTATTGTGCCGCCACAAAGTGTTTTCTTGTACTTTTAAGCCAATCAGAAACCCAACGGGTACGGAAAGTGCAACGAAACCATCAAATTTTAGCTTGAAACTGTATTTTTGTCAATTTCTATTGAATATGAAACATATTTCAACATTTTTTGATGGTTTTGAGCGACGAAACACACTTAAAGCATGCAGAATCGTCTCAGATTAGGAAAAGGAGACGTTTGGGTCAATTTTATGCATTCTGGCGTTCGTAGATAGAAGAAAATTGTTAAGATTCTTCAGAAACGTCACTTTTGAAGTGTTTTCTTGCAGTTTTAAGCCAATCAGAAAACCTACGTGCTCGGAAAGAGCAACGAAACCATCAAATTCTAGCAAGAAACAGTATTTTTGTCGATTTTTAGTAAATCTGAATTATATTTTAACATTTTTTGATGATTCTGAGCTACGAAACACACTTAGATATGCACAATCGTCTCAGATTAGGAAAAGGAGACGTTTGGGTCAATTTTATGCATTCTGGCGTTCGTAGATACAAGAAAATTGTTAAAATTCTTCAGAAACGTCACTTTTGAAGTGTTTTCTTGTAGTTTTAAGCCAATCAGAAACCCAACGGGCTCGGAAAGAGCAACGAAACCATCAAATTTTAGCTAGAAACAGTATTTTTGTCGATTTTTATTAAACCTGAACTATATTTCAACATTTTTTTATGATTCTGAGCTACGAAACACACTTAGAGCATGCAGAATCGTCTCAGATTAGGAAAAGGAGACGTTTGGGTCAATTTTATGCATTCTGGCGTTCGTAGATACAAGAAAATTGTTAAAATTCTTCAGAAACGTCATTTTTGAAGTGTTTTCTTGTAGTTTTAAGCCAATCAGAAACCCAACGGGCTCGGAAAGAGCAACGAAACCATCAAATTTTAGCTAGAAACAGTATTTTTGTCGATTTTTATTAAATCTGAACAATATTTCAACATTTTTTGATGATTCTGAGCGACGAAACACACTTAGAGCATGCAGAATCGTCTTAGATTAGGAAAAGGAGACGTTTGGGTAAATTTTATGCATTCTGGCGTTCGTAGATACAAGAAAATTGTTAAAATTCTTCTGAAACGTCACTTTTGAAGTGTTTTCTTGTAGTTTTAAACCAATGAGAAATCCCACGGGCTCGGAAAGAGCAACGAAACCATCAAATTTTAGCTAGAAACAGTTTTTTGTCGATATTTATTAAATCTGAACTATATTTCAACATTTTTTTATGATTCTGAGCTACGAAACACACTTAGGGGCCAATTTCAAGTTGTGTCGCAACTAATCGCAAACTCCGTTGCCATGGAAATTACAATAACATCACTTGCAACTCCTTGCGATGAATTTCAAGTTCGTTTTTGACCGGCTATTTGCAATGACGTTTAGGTTTCCGATTAGATATTTTGCGATCGCTTGGGTTGCGGTTGCAAGTCGTTAATGACAAGTCGGAGCGGTTTCCGCGGGCTTTGTTGAAGTTTTTTTTTAACTTCAGTGGATTTGATAAGAGTGATTAGGAAGATTCCAAGAGAAAATAAGCGAAATAATACGTTTATTATATACTAAATATTCGAACGGCCGCTTTTTTTGTGAAATTGAGTAAAAACGTTTGGAGGTTATGTGGTTAATTTAGGGTGACCATTCGTCCCGCATTTCGCGGGACAGTCCCGCATTTTAACAAACTGTCCCGCGGAGTGAAGTGTCCCGCATTTGTCCCGCATTCTCTGATTTTCGGAATTTTCTCCAACTACAGGTTGTTAACACCCAGTATAGTAATAATAAAACATTCATTTGCGGCTTTAGTACCATACTTCGAGTTCAGAGGGCGCAAATTTGTTTAGGTTTCATTTCTTACGTATTCTGTGACTGTGAGTATTGAGTAATGACGGCACATAACCTATAAGTCAGTGACAACGGACAACGTGTTAAACTTTTGTAGTGCAATTTTTGATATAAAAGAGGGATAGGAGTAATAAAAATAAGTACTGTATAAGGTGTATGAGGTAGTTGATAAAGATAAATGTGAAACTCAATGATTATTTCATTTTTTCATTTCATGATTGCAGAAACGGGGCCATGGATCATGGAACCATCATCTAGTAGACCTCAAAAAAGAACCTGCAAATTTACTCAGGAAATTGCTGAAAATTATCCATTTATAAAACGAGGCAAAACTGAAACTTATGTGCAATGTACACAGTGCAATTCAGAATTTTCTATTGCTGCAGGAGGAAAATATGATGTATCACGACATGCACAAACTGATAAACATAAGCGAGCAACTAGACTTAGAGCAATAGCTTCGTCAAGTCGTCTAAATCAATTTTTCCGTAGCAAAAATTTTGATGATGAAGAAAAAAAACGTGCATTATCCGAAGCAGTCTTCGCATTCCATACCGTTTGCCATAATCATTCTTTTCGGTCTATGGATTGTACATCCAAATTGATTAAAGCACACTTTGACAAAAAATTTAGTTGTGCCCGAACAAAGACTGAGGCAATAGTAAAAAATGTAATTGGTCCATACATACTTTCTGAAGTAAGAAATATATTAAAAAATGTATCATTTGTAACACTTTATTCTGATGCATCAAATCACAAAGATATCAAGTTATTTCCTACTTTAATAAGATACTTCGATTGTAAAGAAGGTATTCAGATCAAACTGTTAGATATAGTCTCGTTGCCAGGTGAAACTTCCGAGCTGATTACAAATTCTATCTTTGATATATTGGTAAAGAATAACCTTCAGGATAAAATTGCTGCATACTGTGCTGACAACACCAATTCAAATTTTGGTGGAGTTAATAGACGGGGGACAAATAATGTATTTGCGCGACTAAATGAAAAATTAAATCGACCGATAATTGGAGTCGGATGTGGCGCACATATTGTACATAATGCAATTGAAACTGCTGCTAATTTATTACCAATAGATATAGAGTCTATTATTAACAAAATTTATAGACATTTTTATATTTTTACCGTGCGCGTCGAAACACTTAAAGAATTTTGTGCTGAAGCCGAAGTAGAATACCGCCGATTACTTGGGGTTTCTAAAACAAGGTGCCTGGCATTAATGCCTTCTATTGAGCGTGTGCTACAATTATATGGACCACTGAAGTCTTACTTTTTGTCTTGTGAAAAATGCCCAACCTGTCTGGAAAATTTTTTTAATGATGAGAAGTCTGAATTTTGGTTATATTTTTTACACAATCAAGCGGCCATTTTCCATCACACTGTTAAACAAATCGAAGGAGAAAAAAAGACCGTAATTGAAATTTCTGCCGAAATTGATATTTTAATAGACAAATATAAGCAAAGAATTGAAAGTAAGTTTGTACCACTTGCACTAAATTCTATGCTAACAAATCTAGTCAATAATGGTGATAGAAATAAAGACTGGTTTATTTCCCGCATTATAAATTTTTATGAAAATTGCGTCCAATATTTGGAAACATGGCAAACGCAGTTTAATGAAACTCAGCATTTTAAATGGATAGAGTTAAAGAAACAAGTAAATTGGAAAGATGTGGAAGCAACCCTTGACTATGCCATCAAAATGAAGAATCTTGGGGAAACAAAAAATTCATCACTTGAAAACGATTTATTTGATGAAGTGTCCTATTTAAAGGCCTACGTAACGGACACAAAGATTTTAGACTGGGCCAACTCTGAAGTTGAAGTCGATCAAAAATGGATCGAAATTTTCGATCATTTTTCGAATAACCATGTTCCTTGTGAATACCTAAAAAAAATTGTCCAATTGTGTTTGTGCCTACCAGGCACAAATGCAGCAACGGAGCGGGTTTTTTCAATCATTAACAATTTGTGGACTGCTGAGAAGTCACAGCTGCAACTTGATACATTAAAAGCTGAATTAATAACAAGGTGGAACAGTGCCAACTCTTGTAAGCAATTCAGGATGCAAATTGAAAACAATCTCGAACTTTTAAAACAAGTTCACTCTGTTGAAAAATACAAATAAATTTTTTATTGTTTTTATTTCTCATTTTTTTATAATATATATTTTATTCTTATTAAAAATTGTGTTCAAGATATTTTTGTTTTTTATTATTGTTACTATTATTATTATTTTGTCCCGCGTTGGACTCAGAAGAAAATGGTCACCCTAGGTTAATTTTGACAAAAACACGAGAAATAAACTACCAGTGGTTGAAGTTCCCAATTGGGGCATTATTTAAGTTATTATTCTTCCTTATTGCCTGCAGCCCCGCAGCTCTCGTCTTGTTTTAATACTTACTTTGAAATAGTTGGAATGGCATTGGCGGGAGCGGCTGCGCAACAAGTTTTAGCGGGAATTATTGTCGGAAATTTTTCGGAAAGCAGTGAAAATGATGACGAAGACCAAAGGCTAATAAAGCAGCCGTTTACCATCCGTCAGATTTCTGAGAAAATCTTGTACCAACAGACCCAGTTAAATAGGGAGGTATTTAATTTTGTTTTAGACCTTCTAACTCCGTATCTAACACCCAACACAAGAAAAGGACGTTACCAACATCTAACGCCAATGCAGAAGTTGTATGTCGCTTTGCAATTTTATGCCACAGGAAGTTACCAATGGTTAGTTGGTAGTAGTGGTAGAATGTCTCAGTCCGAAGTATGTCAGGCCATCAGGGCAGTTACAGACGCTTTTGTAGCAGTGTCCCCTCAGTTCATTATTTTTCCAGATGCTGAGGAATACCCAGCTGTGAAACAAAATTTTTACAGATTGGGCATCACAAGACATGGACGAGGCTTTCCACATGTGTTAGGAGCAATTGACTGCACACATGTTAGGATCCAGGCACCCACAAATAGACCAGAACAATATCTTAACAGGCACATTTACCACTCAATTAATGTTCAGTTAATTGTAGGTCCTGACTTGATCATATACAATGTTTTTGCTGAATATCCTGGCTCAAATCATGACTCCTACATCTGGCGCAATTCCGCTGTTCGAGATGGTTTAGCCAATGGAAACTTTGGTGAAGGCTGGCTTGTAGGAGATTCTGGTTATCCTCTAGAACCATGGATCATGACTCCGGTTGGGCAAGTTAACACACCTGCAGAATTGTTATACAATTCTGTGCACATCTCCACAAGAAATCCAGTGGAAAGGACAAATGGAGTTTTAAAAAGTCGTTGGCATGTTCTAGATTCTCCTCTAAAGTATTCGCCAAGAAAAGTTTGTGCAATAACAACAGCATGTTGTGTACTGCATAACATTTGCACAAGGCATAACTTAGGCGTTGACAATCGACAAGAATATCCACTACATGACGACTTTCCTTGTCAAGAACCCCCAAATCCCAACTATGCTAATATTAGACAAAATCTGATTGAACGACATTTCACCTAATAACTTGTCTTGTATCCTTTTTTTATGGGGTTCTATGCCTTATTTTTTTTTTTTTTTTACTTAAAAAAATTCATAGTCTTTCCTTGATCATGCTATTAATTTTGTAATACTTAATTCATTTAAGCATTTTTACTTTAGACTTTAGTAATTACTAATCGCGGCATTTTTTAGACCATACTGTTTTCATTTGAACTAGAACCTCTTCTTATACTTACTGGGAATTGTACTTACTAACAGTGTATTTCAAATTAACATAACCCTTATCCTTTTCCCTATCCTGGCGACAATTTGCCCGCCTCTCCGTGGCCTCGCTAGATAACCTCCACAAATATGTAGTTTTTCGCACATGTAGTTAATTTTTTTCTTCACTCTAACTTGAATGCAAAGTATTGAATAATTATTCTTTCTAATTTGTGGAAATAACCAAGTTGACAAAATTACTAATGAACAAGTTTGAATTTGATAAGCACATTAACCTGTTTTTTTTTTAGAAAAGAAATGGCGTGAAAAATTTTGAGGATCAACAACTTATCAAAAAATTAAAATTATACTACAAAAAAAAAAGAAACTTTTAAGATAGAACAAAAACATTGACAAAAAACAAAACAAAACAAAAAAACAACAAAAATAATGAACACAAAAAAATTAAATAAGTTTTCTTCTCTTCCCGTCTTCATCGTCAGTTTCGAGTGCCCGCTTTTTGAAACAATCAACCAACTGCATCTTGAAATCTCGTATTTCACTAATCAAGCCAGCTGTAAATTTTTGTTGCTCGTGGAGCATGTTTCGTAAAATGGAATTTTGCTCCCACAAAATTGCATTTTGCTCACGCAGAACATTATTCCCCTCATCAATAAGGCGGCTTGTTTCCACCATTTGCTCTGCCGCAATGGTTCTACCGCTCTTTTTTTTCTTTGGGATAGGTTTGGGCAGTGGGGCTTTTGGCGGGAAGGAAGGATTACTGGGAGTACTCAGTGGTTCTACAAATCAGAAAAATTAACAGAAATAGCTTACATCAAGTATTTTTGAAAATATCTAGTGCAAAATAAATATATAAATGTTACTAGCTTTTTTTTTCTATTCCCATGAGTTTATTTTTATAACAAATAAGATTTTGTAAGTAAAATTACTGTCTTCAAAAACGATTTTGTAGAAATTTCAATACATATTGCCATTATTGAGTGGGGATTGTGGTTCCATTTCGTCCTCAACTAATGGTACTGGCAGGATTATAGGGAAATGCATGGGATTTTGTTTTTCTACAGGATCGTTAACAACTAAAAAACGTTAAAATAAATACAGAAGTTAAGTGAAACTTTTATTTTATTATATCTGTGTCATCCATATATATTAATATATTAATACTGGATTGTCCATAAGTGATGAGCTAAAATGAATTTAAAACGCAACCCAAAATACATTGCACAGCTTTCGTTTATGGTTTTCGGTTTAATGGTGCCTGCCTCCACTATCTTCACAAAGTCCTATCCTACGTTTAAAATTTCTACGAGCTCTAACATGTCGAGAGTTATAGATCTGCATGACGCTATTATCCTTTCACGTAAGTGGTTTTCATTTTCGATTGGGAGACTATAAACGTCATTTTTCACATTCCCCCAAAGAAGAAAATCTAATGGCGTTAGATCAGGACTCCGTGCAGACCAAGTGTACTCTTCTTCTCTAGCAATAAGTCTTGGCCCAAACGCTCTGTGTAAATAGTTCCTAACGTCTCTCTGATAATAATGAGCGGGAGCGCCATCATTTTGAAACCAAATTATTCTTCGTATGTCTAACTCTACGTTTTCCAACAGTTCAGGTAAAATATTCTTTAAAACATTTAGATACATAGGTCCGTTTAAATTTCCTTCAAAAAAATGTGGACCAATGACGTGGTTACCAACAATTCCACACCAAGGATTAACTTTGGATTTTGCTGGGCATAGTAATGCGAGTTGTGTCTGTTTACATCCCCGTTATTGGTAAATGTGGTTTCATTCGTAAACAAAACGTTAAATAAAAAAATCTTGATTGTCTCGAAATTGAGCCCTCACGAATTCGCAAAACACTAACCGTCGGATAAAAGCGCGTTCTGTTAAATATTGGACAATTGTCACATGGTAGGTATGAAATCGGTTTGCCTTTAAGATGTTGAAAACCGAACCCAAACTAATCACCTTTTGTCTTGCAATCTGTCTTTAACTCACGTGGGGATTTTCTGCTACAATTTCAATTAGAACAGCTTTATTACCCGGCGTTGTTACAGTTCGATTTCTAACTTAATTTTTTTTAATTGCCCAAATTCTCGTAAATTTTTTTCAAGTTTTCTAAACGCTTGATTTGAGGGAGTTCTTCTATTGGGATACTGCCTGGCGTAGAGGCGAACAGCAGCATCAAAATTTTTGTCGCACTTTCCCTATATTAATAGCATGTGAACAGATAAAATGAACATCCTGTTCATGACAATCATATTCGTTTTTTCATTGTTTGAATACATCATATTCAACAAATTCAAGTGATTTAAGTCTTTTATACGTAAAAATTTTAAAGCCAAACTTGCTGTTTTAAAAAAATTATAAAAGAAGGCTGCTGCAAGAATGTTTTTTGAGTTGCATTTCAGAAAAAGGCAGGCTTGTAAACAACGCTATTGATGTTGATTTGTAAGGGCCTACCTGAAAAAAGTAACATCAATAAGAAAGTATATACTTACCCTGTTCTCGATAAGTGTCAATGCCTCCATGGATGCCCTCAATGCTCTCCTCCCCAATAAAGGACACCACCTTCAAATCCACATCAGACAGTGGAGGAGCTTCGTTTTCACCCCCACCGGTCTTTCGTGCCTCGCGCTTAAAAGTATTGGCCTTCTGTTTCGTACGGTGTTTCAGATCTCGAAATTTGTTTTTAATGTCTTCGAGGCTCCTCCGGACTGGGGCCACCGCATTGACACAGTCCAACACTGCGTTCCAGGCGACATCCCGATGGTACTGGGTCAATTTTGGACCCTTAAGGGGTCCAAATAATGTCGCCCGTTTCTGCTCCACCTCTGTTACCAATACTTCAATCTCACCCTCTGTGAAATTTGAGGCCCTCTTCCTCCGTGGTACCTTGCTTTTCTGGTTTCTACAAGCACTTTGCCGTTAATTTATGAATTCATTATTGACACAAAAAGAATGAGAATTAAAAAAAATATGTACTTACGACTTCTGAGACATTTTCAGTCACAATAGTAAATAAAATAAACAACACAAACACAACACCCGATGTAAGGTTATGTTGACTTGATATAAAATTACACTATTGACATTTACTTTCGCAAGATGCTGTGGCTACAGCGCCGCGTTTGCGAGCTCGCTGCGATGGGGAATTATTTGAACATGAAATTGATCGCAAGTAGTTATTGTAAGGAAATCGCAGTTACAGTCTCGCAATGACTCGCCCCTTAATAGAGCACAAAGAATCGTCTCAGAATAGGAAAAGGAGACGTTTGGGTCAATTTTATGCATTCTGGCGTCCGTAGATACAAGAAAATTGTTAAAATTCTTCAGAAACGTCACTTTTGAAGTGTTTTCTTGTAGTTTTAAGCCAATCAGAAACCCGACGGGCTCGGAAAGAGCAACGAAACCATCAAATTTTAGCTAGAAACAGTATTTTTGTCGATTTTTATTAAATCTGAACTATATTCCAACATTTTTTGAGGATTCTGAGCTACGAAACACACTTAGAGCATGCAGAATCGTCTCAGATTAGGAAAAGGAGACGTTTGGGTCAATTTTATGCATTCTGGCGTTCGTAGATACAAGAAAATTCTTAAAATTCTTCAGAAACGTCATTTTTGAAGTGTTTTCTTGTAGTTATAAACCAATCAGAAACCCCACGAACTCGGAAAGAGCAACGAATCCATCAAATTTTAGCTAGAAACTGTATTTTTGTCGATTTTTATTAAATCTGAACTATACTTCAATATTTTTTGAGGATTCTGAGCTACGAAACACACTTAGAGCATGCAGAATCGTCTCAGATTAGGAAAACGAGACGTTTGGGTCAATTTTATGCATTCTGGCGTTCGTAGATACAAGAAAAGTGTTAAAATTCTTCAGATACATCACTTTTGAAGTGTTTTCTTGTAGTTTTAAACCAATCAGAAACCCTACGGGCCCGGAAAGGGCAACGAAACAATGAAATTTTAGCTAGAAACTGTATTTTTTCGATTTTTATTTAATATGAACCATATTTCAACATTTTTTGATGGTTTTGAGCTACGAAACACACTTAGATATGCACAATCGTCTCAGATTAGGAAAAGGAGGCGTTTGGGTCAATTTTGTGCATTCTGGCGTTCGTAGATACAAGAAAATTGTTAAAATTCTTCAGAAACGTCACTTTTGAAGTGTTTTCTTGTAGTTATAAGCCAATCAGAAACCCTACGAACTCGGAAAGAGCAACGAATCCATCAAATTTTAGCTAGAAACTGTATTTTTGTCGATTTTTATTAAATCTGAACTATATTTCAATATTTTTTGATGATTCTGAGCTACGAAACACACTTTGAGCACACAGAATCGTCTCAGAATAGGAAAAGGAGACGTTTGGATCAATTTTATGCATTCTGGCGTTCGTAGATACAAGAAAATTGTTAAAATTCTTCAGAAACGTCACTTTTGAAGTGTTTTCTTGTAGTTTTAAGCCAATCAGAAACCCGACGGTCTCGGAAAGAGCAACGAAACCATCAAATTTTAGCTAGAAACAGTATTTTTGTCGATTTTTATTAAATCTGAACTATATTTCAACATTTTTTTATGATTCTGAGCTACGAAACCCACTTAGAGCATGCAGAATCGTCTCAGATTAGGAAAAGGAGACGTTTGGGTCAATTTTATGCATTCTGGCGTTCGTAGATACAAGAAAATTGTTAAAATTCTTCAGAAACGTCACTTTTGAAGTGTTTTCTTGTAGTTTTAAGCCAATCAGAAACCCTACGGGCTCGGAAAGAGCAACGAAACCATCAAATTTTAGCTAGAAACAGTATTTTTGTCGATTTTTATTAAATCTGAACAATATTTCAAAATTTTTTGATGATTCTGAGCGACGAAACACACTTAGAGCATGCAGAATCGTCTTAGATTAGGAAAAGGAGACGTTTGGGTAAATTTTATGCATTCTGGCGTTCGTAGATACAAGAAAAGTGTTAAAATTGTTCAGAAACGTCACTTTTGAAGTGTTTTCTTGTAGTTTTAAGGCAATCAGAAACCCTACGGGCATGGAAAGAGCAACGAAACCATCAAATTTTAGCTAGAAACTGTATTTTTGTCGATTTTTATTGAGTATGAACCATAGTTCTACATTTTCTGATGGTTTTGAGCGACAAATCACACTTAAAGCATGCACAATCGTCTCAGATTAGAAAAAGGAAATGTTTAGGTCAATTTTATGCATTCTGGCGTTCGTAGATACAAGAAAAGTGTTAAAATTCTTCAGAAACGTCACCTTTGAAGTGTTTTCTTGTAGTTTTAAGCCAATCAGAAACCCTACGGTCTCGGAAAGAGCAACGAAACCATCAAATTTTAGCTAGAAACAGTATTTTTGTCGATTTTTATTAAATCTGAAATATATTTCAACATTTTTTGATGATTCTGAGCGACGAAACACACTTAGAGCGTGCAGAATCGTCTTAGATTAGGAAAATAAGACTTTTGGGTAAATTTTATGCATTCTGGCTTACGTGGATACAAGACAATTTTTAAAATTCTTCAGAAAAGTCACTTTTGAAGTGTTTTCTTGTAGTTTTAAGCCAATCAGAAACCCAACGGGCTCGGAAAGAGCACCGAAACCATCAAATTTTAGCTAGAAACAGTATTTTTGTCGATTTTTATTAAATCTGAACTATATTCCAACATTTTTTAAGGATTCTGAGCTACGAAACACACTTAGAGCATGCAGAATCGTCTCAGATTAGGAAAAGGAGACGTTTGGGTCAATTTTATGCATTCTGGCGTTCGTGGATACAAGAAAATTCTTAAAATTCTTCAGAAACGTCATTTTTGAAGTGTTTTCTTGTAGTTATAAGCCAATCAGAAACCCTACGAACTCGGAAAGAGCAACTAATCCATCAAATTTTAGCTAGAAACTGTATTTTTGTCGATTTTTATTAAATCTGAACTATATTTCAATATTTTTTGAGGATTCTGAGCTATGAAACACACTTAGAGCATGCAGAATCGTCTCAGATTAGGAAAAGGAGACGTTTGGGTCAATTTTATGCATTCTGGCGTTCGTAGATACAAGAAAAGTGTTGAAATTCTTCAGATACGTCACTTTTGAAGTGTTTTCTTGTAGTTTTAAACCAATCAGAAACCCTACGGGCCCGGAAAGGGCAACGAAACAATGAAATTTTAGCTAGAAACTGTATTTTTTCGATTTTTATTTAATATGAACCATATTTCAACATTTTTTGATGGTTTTGAGCTACGAAACACACTTAGATATGCACAATCGTCTCAGATTAGGAAAAGGAGGCGTTTGGGTCAATTTTGTGCATTCTGGCGTTCGTAGATACAAGAAAATTGTTAAAATTCTTCAGAAACGTCACTTTTGAAGTGTTTTCTTGTAGTTATAAGCCAATCAGAAACCCTACGAACTCGGAAAGAGCAACGAATCCATCAAATTTTAGCTAGAAACTGTATTTTTGTCGATTTTTATTAAATCTGAACTATATTTCAATATTTTTTGATGATTCTGAGCTACGAAACACACTTTGAGCACACAGAATCGTCTCAGAATAGGAAAAGGAGACGTTTGGATCAATTTTATTCATTCTGGCGTTCGTAGATACAAGAAAATTGTTAAAATTCTTCAGAAACGTCACTTTTGAAGTGTTTTCTTGTAGTTTTAAGCCAATCAGAAACCCGACGGTCTCGGAAAGAGCAACGAAACCATCAAATTTTAGCTAGAAACAGTATTTTTGTCGATTTTTATTAAATCTGAACTATATTTCAACATTTTTTTATGATTCTGAGCTACGAAACCCACTTAGAGCATGCAGAATCGTCTCAGATTAGGAAAAGGAGACGTTTGGGTCAATTTTATGCATTCTGGCGTTCGTAGATACAAGAAAATTGTTAAAATTCTTCAGAAACGTCACTTTTGAAGTGTTTTCTTGTAGTTTTAAGCCAATCAGAAACCCTACGGGCTCGGAAAGAGCAACGAAACCATCAAATTTTAGCTAGAAACAGTATTTTTGTCGATTTTTATTAAATCTGAACAATATTTCAAAATTTTTTGATGATTCTGAGCGACGAAACACACTTAGAGCATGCAGAATCGTCTTAGATTAGGAAAAGGAGACGTTTGGGTAAATTTTATCCATTCTGGCGTTCGTAGATACAAGAAAAGTGTTAAAATTGTTCAGAAACGTCACTTTTGAAGTGTTTTCTTGTAGTTTTAAGGCAATCAGAAACCCTACGGGCATGGAAAGAGCAACGAAACCATCAAATTTTAGCTAGAAACTGTATTTTTGTCGATTTTTATTGAGTATGAACCATAGTTCTACATTTTCTGATGGTTTTGAGCGACAAATCACACTTAAAGCATGCACAATCGTCTCAGATTAGAAAAAGGAAATGTTTAGGTCAATTTTATGCATTCTGGCGTTCGTAGATACAAGAAAAGTGTTAAAATTCTTCAGAAACGTCACCTTTGAAGTGTTTTCTTGTAGTTTTAAGCCAATCAGAAACCCTACGGTCTCGGAAAGAGCAACGAAACCATCAAATTTTAGCTAGAAACAGTATTTTTGTCGATTTTTATTAAATCTGAAATATATTTCAACATTTTTTGATGATTCTGAGCGACGAAACACACTTAGAGCGTGCAGAATCGTCTTAGATTAGGAAAATAAGACTTTTGGGTAAATTTTATGCATTCTGGCTTACGTGGATACAAGACAATTTCTAAAATTCTTCAGAAAAGTCACTTTTGAAGTGTTTTCTTGTAGTTTTAAGCCAATCAGAAACCCAACGGGCTCGGAAAGAGCACCGAAACCATCAAATTTTAGCTAGAAACAGTATTTTTGTCGATTTTTATTAAATCTGAACTATATTCCAACATTTTTTAAGGATTCTGAGCTACGAAACACACTTAGAGCATGCAGAATCGTCTTAGATTAGGAAAAGGAGACGTTTGGGTAAATTTTATCCATTCTGGCGTTCGTAGATACAAGAAAAGTGTTAAAATTGTTCAGAAACGTCACTTTTGAAGTGTTTTCTTG